TTTTTTAATTTTTTACCATACATACAAACATCCATTAATCTCATATATATTATTACCTATAATTTCCCATATGATACCATAAGGTGTAGAAAGTGCTTTTTGAAAATGCGCTAATTAATTATTTAGAGCAAATTACTAAAACACCCTGAATTTCAGGCCAGAACTGCCTAATTTTTCCTCCATTACTTTGGAAAGCTGCTCCACCATGGCCGGGGGCAGGTGATTGACCCAATCACCCACCTCGGCTTTCCTGAACAAATGCCTGTTCTCAAAGTTCTTGATTGATTTCCCGCTTTTATTCACCTCCAAGTCTTTCATCTTCTCAAAGCTACACAACATCACTATCTCCTCCACCACACCTTCTTCCTCCTCCTCCTCCGTGAAAGGCATGCCCAGGAATCTCGCCAGTATTTTCAGGTACGAAACAGTATCTTGTTTCATGTCCTCGTACTTGAAAAACAGCACATTCTGTGGCCCCATCCGGCTCTCATTCCAGTACCCCAGCATGTGTTCCCAGAAGGGGCCGAACCCGATCACCCCTTTACAGTACAATTCGAAAGCTTGCTCCAGAGGCAACTTCGGTTGAGGATCTGGTCTCAGTTTGTTAAGATAATGCCACGAGGAAACGAAGGTATCAAATGGGTTCCGGCAGACGTAAACAACCGGGCAGCCTGACTTCTTCACCGATTCATTCAACGAATGGAACGAAAGGTGAGTGGCGAACAGTCTTGGGTTGGGAAGGGTAGAGAGATCGGGAAATTGGTGGTTTGAGTTTGAAAAGAGTTTGTATTCGAAGAAGGGGACGAGATCGTGAGGGTTGGACGTGAACAGGGGATGGGTGGGTGAAGAGGGAGGAAAACGGCGGCGATTAAGGATTGAAAAGGTCAATGCTTTAATCCAGGTGGTGCCAGATTTTGGTATGGTGGCAAGCACCACGTCCGTTTCCCTGGCCTGGAAGTTGTTTTGGAAAGAGATAATGGATTGGATCTCCTTGGGCTGGCACCAAAATCCCTGGAATTTATAGAGACAAGAAGTTCTCCAGCCTTTCTCTTTGGGGAGAGAAAGCAGCAGCTCCTTGGTCTCTTGAGCTAACATTTTCTCTTCATCGTCCATCGTCCTGACTCTGAGGGATGATGGGGGGCGCCGATGATTTTACAAAATGGGGATGGGGAATGGCATCCATATTGAACTGCGCGTGCGCTAGCTTGTGCAATTTGTTAAAGCAAAAGCACATCTGGTAAAAGTAGAAGAACATTTGCCTTCTTAACAGAAGGACAGCTGGACAACAGATTAACATTTCTCTTCTTAACAAAAGGACAGCTAAACAATCGATTAACATTTGTCTACTTTACAAATGCCCTAGTGAAAGATATGCTGAATCAAAGGAGAAGATTGATAGATGACAAAAATTGTGCAAATTGACTCATGGAGTATGCCTTCGAACACAATGATATAAAAATTGATTAATTACCAGAATATTAACATCTTGTATTATTCATGCCTTATTTCTTTCACACTTTTTCTTTTTATTTTTTGATTTGTATATATATTTTTTATTTTTTTAATTTGTATACCTATAAATTGTAAAAATGTATCTTAAATAATATACATGAGAAAGTATTACAATTCATAGAAAATCTCATCTTTTTCTCATTTCTAATTCAATTTAATTATGCACATGCAGGTGCAATTAATAGAAATATGCTTTTTGGTACATAATAGATATATGCTTTTTGCTTTTCTTCTTCCGCTCTAATTAATTTTTTCTTTGCTTGAATGAGAATAGAAAACTCAGGAGTCGGCTTAATTATATAGATTGTCATGGTTAATTTAGCTAGTGTACCAATTTTTTTAATTAAAATTCACATGAGTGCAGTGAAAATTTCTTTTTAATAGAAAAGTAAGAAATCTTGAATTAAAATTAATGAATAAGAAAAAGTTATTTTTTATTATACAATTTAAGATTAAAAAAAATTATTTAGTCAACATTCACTTGTAATTTTCAAATAAACTAAGCATGCATTTTGAAACACAATCTTAAAAAAAAAAAAAACCATAAAATAGCATTACATGCATTATATATAAATATGTGTATATATATATTGGATTCCAAGATTTTCAGAACGATCTGATTTTTCGTTTTTACACACATATATATATATATGGAAATGATTGATATACTCAATTTTTTAATATCCGCTTTAACACCATTCAGTTTAATAATTAAAAATATAATATAAATATAATCAATTTAATCGATTCTTTTATCTTGT